TACATTTTGTAAAACTCTTATAGACATTAGGATTTATTTATCTAGACAGACTGCTTGGGACAGTCTCATTCACCGAGAGATTCCATAAGTTTATTAAAAGATGTAAAAGTATAAAGAATATTAACATAGTGTATGGAATCGATTCAAACTCATTATTAACCCTTTTTCGTAAAAACGTTTAAAACTTATGGATTTACTAGTCATAGAGGGCGATATATACCCAAGTTCTACGTCAGCCAATATTTAACGGTTGGTAAGCACCAGTACTGGCAATGTTACATTGCTTGTAACATACGGCAATTTCAACTGTAACCATTAATTGCGATTTGCACTATTATTATTTCAATTTGTTTTAAACACAGTCTCCACTAAGGTTTTACAAAATCTAATATTGGAGTACACATATAAGAAACAAATGCACACCAGTCCATGTGTTGTCAACTTCCGGTTCTGAGTTCTTTCCATCGCACATCTGCCGACTAAACGCTTAAGATGTCACTGGCTAGTAAGATTAAAGAAGATGATTACGTTATTCTGCAGAAAGGAAAAAATATGCAGTTAGTACAAGTTCGGAAGAAAAGGTTTGTGTAATTTCTCCGCCTTCACTATTCGCTCAGGCTAACGCGTCAAACTTGGTTAAGAATTCTCTCCTTCAGCATGGCACTAGAACGAAAACTGTCCCCAGATCGGGAGAATTAACCAGATCGGGAGTGGGGGGGGGGGGTGTAGGTCTAGAGCAGGAGTCAATCCCATGCATAAACGATTTTGACAATCGAAAGAACTAGCAATTATACAATTTACTGCCTGACAGTAATATCTAGGTTTTTTGAAGAAAAAAACCTTCGTTTTGTTTTTATCATACAACGGAGAATTGATTAGGAAATAAATATTCATCCGATATTTTAACCTAATTTGTTATAGTTCCTTAGGCAACTCCAGTCCTAACCCTGCCCCTCCAGCAGTAATTTCTTTAATTCAAGATGTACATTTTAGATCATTTAAAAGAAAGTATTAGCACTTTAGCTAAATTAAGATTCTGTTAATTTCTGCATTGACTCAAATTCGCTAAAATGGCATGTGGCTATTTCAAAATGTTTTACAGTCCTTATATTTCAAACTGTATCAGTACATACATCTTGTTTGAATAACATTTGCCATTTATATGATTGAATGAAATAAATTGACAGGTAATTCTCATCTTGATCTTCTATTTATATTATACATATCCACCCCCACAAAAGATTCACAATTTTGAAAAGTGCAAAACCCTATTACTAGAATGTATCCTCATGCCTTTGTGTACATTTTTGTATCATGCGTAGATTGTTTTATATTTCTAGTCTGTGTTTTACTTAGTTTCTTAATGCGATTTTGACACTTGCAATACAAAATTTATGCATTTTTCTCATGCATCAGTTTTAATGATTAACCACCCCTCAAGAAAATTACACAAAATGTATACAATTACATTACTGGACTACAATGGGAAACAAAAGAAATATTTAAATAGAATGAACAAACAAATGATGTTATCCCATAATTCCACAGTTCCTGTGATTGTGGGTTGTACTAACATATTTGTTTGCGATATTAGTTTGGTAAGTATCTGTGCTTCATGCATTCTGAAAACGTACATTTTTCTCAAAATCTTTTTTTTTTTTTTTTTTTTTTAAATTACTGATAACTTGCTGATGAATTTTCTATAGTTGTATTCATCAATGGTAAACCAAACTTACTTTACAGCCATACAAAATATTTTTAGATGAAGAAATCCCCAAACACCAGGTTGTGTGGTTGATACAAAGAAATCTGCACATGAACTGCCAAGTAATAAGGATAGAATTTACATTCCCCAAAGATTGACATCATTTTTAGTGTCTCTATAAATTCTCTTTAAGGTATATTTGATATTTTGGTCACATAATGCAAAAAGTACTTTTGATAAACAAATACAGCAGTCTCCTTAGGGAAGACGTCAAAAGATCGATGTCGGATAAAAAAAACTTAATTCCTATAGTTTTTTCCCAACCCCATCTCCCCACCCCCCACCCCCACTGAAACTTAATTGATAAATATTGATCATGGCGTCAGACTACATTCACCATTAAATACAAATTGATAATTGGACAATAGTATGGCATAGCAGTTGGTTGTAATAATGAAGGGAATATTCGCATGCGCAAACTACTTCTCTGGGTTCTGCGCATGCTCTAGGTCCATGCTCTGAAATTGACATCATTTGACGCACATATTTACACTCGTACCAAACCATTTTCTCGTCTTGGATGTGTTTTTTTCATTTTCTGTTCTTTTTGTCTATGATTCTCATTGGATAGAAAAAAAAACGAACTACAAATACTCAAGATTTTTTTGACTTT